GCTTCATTTTGTTTGGGGAAGGCTAAGCGGATTCATGGGCTTGTCAATCATTCAAAATCTAGAGACCATCTGCATCAAAAGAAGCGGAAAGTCAGCAGGCTACGGGCCCTCACAACCCCTGAACCCTAAACCCTAAACCCTAAACCCTAAGCCCTAGAAACCCTAAACCCTAAACCCTAAACCCTAAACCCTAAACCCTAAACCCTAAACCCGGGACCACAACGACGTGACATGCCTGAACCGACCTACGAGGTTGTTCAGGAACCTGCGAACTGCCAGGGTTCCCGTTGTTCCCGAAACCCTAAACCCTAAACCCAAAACCCAAAACCAAAAACCCTAGCTACACCCTATAGAGGGTTTTACACAGGGATCCTCGCCCGACACAAGTACTTCTGGGCATCAGAGCCTCCTTGTTTGATGTATCAGAAACGGGCAGTCCTAATTCTCCAAAAGAGGGAGGGAGAGAGAGAGAGAGAGAGAGAGAAAGAAAGGGGTTAGAAAGAGAGATAATGATACATGTATATATATACACATATAACTCAACAAACAGGAAAGAAAGCAGCGAGCTTAAAACTAACCGATCATAATCAAGAAACCAATGTGTTTCCCATATTCTACATCTAGATTTAGCAAAGTTCCAAAACCCTGAATCTGAAACCCTAAGACCTACATGCAACTCCCCTCCCACAACCCGCCGACCTTTGGCTGATCGCACTGGCAGCGGCGGCTGACGTGAGTGCACCGGCACGGCGCAGTGCTCCTATAGCCAGGGGTGCAGGCGCGCAGGGTTTAGGGCAAGGGTAGGGGTTTTGGCATAGGGTTTTTGGGTTCCTGTAAATGGGGTAAGAGCGCATGAGGGGTGTCAAAACACAACTCCTAGACTCGTCAGGACTGCAGACCTTTTAAACAGCCTGAAGTTATATGAAGTAGGGTTTATATTTCTTGTACCCCCAAAAGGACACCCAGTATATACACTCACCAATCTAAAAAAAGAACCTTATAAACACTCACCAAAAACAGAAATATAAACCCTGCTTCATATGCGCCACATCTAACCCTAGCATCCCCCCACCAGCGCAGCCTGTCAACTCTCCAGTCGACCTACTACTTGAAGGTTCATGAGTGCTTGTAAGTAGGGCTCGCAGTCCCCTTAATAGGGCAAAATGCCATAATGGCGGTCGATATAACCCTACTTATCAGTACCCTAAAGTCGAGTTGCAACCTCACTTATTCAGTGCCCTAGATAAGGTTACATATCATTATTACCTTCGTTATAACCTTACTTCTATAAGTACCCCTGAACCCTAAACCCTAAACCCTAAACCCTAAACCCTAAACCCTAAACCCTAAACCCTAAACCCTAAACCTCCAAGTAGGCACCCTGAAGCCGAAGGCGGCCTGCCCTTCACGCTCTGCTCGCGATGTCGCGTAGCTCAGATGCCTGAACATCCACGGGGTTCGGGATGCAGTGGACGTGGAACCCTCTAAACCCTGGCCCTCAACCCTAAACCATGAAGTTTAGGTTCAAAACCCTAAGCCTTAAACCCGAGTCCCCTACCTTTTCGGGTCTTTGGGGCTGAGGCTCGCCTTTCGGGCTTTGAAGTAGTGAACCCGGAATTCGATGCTTGAACCCCATCAACCCTACCCGCACCCCAGAGCCCCAAGCCCAAACCTTAGAGAACCAAACCCCAAATCTAAGCAAAACACCAAGCCAGCTCAACCCTTAAACCCTTAAATGACCCCAAACCCTAAACCCTAAACCCTAAACCCTAAACCCTAAACCCTAAACCCTAAACCCTAAACCCTAAACCCTAAACCCTAAACCCTAACCCCCAGCCAGCAACCTGTAGACGAGACGTCGCCGCCAGTGCAATCGCGGCAATCGTCGGACCATCCTCCGGCTTTACGTGTGTTTTTGTTAGGGCTTGGGGTTTCGACCTGTGTTCAGCCAAAAGCAGCATACACGCACTAAGGCTTTGAGGGCTTTAAGGCTCTCAGGGTGCGGGCTTCAACCCTAAACCCCAAACCCTAAACCCAGGTGGCAGGCTGCAGGGCTCATAAAACCTTACGGGCTGGACAACTTTCAGGCCTTCTGGCTTTGACAGGGTTGTGAACTAAGGGGCTTAGAGCTTAGGCTTAGGCAGTTTAGGGTTTAGGTTTAGGGTTTAGGGTTTAGGGTTTAGGGTTTAGGGTTTAGGGTTTAGGGTTTAGGGTTTAGGGTTTAGGGTTTAGGGTTTAGGCTTTAGGGTTTAGGGTTTAGGGTTTAGGGTTTAGGGCTCAGCGTCTTGGCTCCTTGAGTCCAATCAGCTGTAAGCCCTAAGCCCCCAAAATGTACATAAGCAATATAAGCCCTAAACCCTAAACCCTAAACCCTAAACCCTAAACCCTAAACCCTAAACCCTAAACCCTAAACCCTAAACCCTAAACCCTAAACCCTAACATCCCTAAGCACTATTCCTAAACCCGAAACCCTGAATCCCAAACCCGAAACCCTAAACCCTACTCATTTGGTTCCCTAAGCCCTACACATCTTAAACCCTAAACTCAAGGGACTAAAGGAGGGACCCTTCATGTAGGTATATAGGGACAATACAAGCTATGTAAAAGGGTGAACGGCTTATATGTGGAATAAGATTCAGGGTCACTTCCTGGGGTTCCTCTTAAGAAACATCCCTACTTGGCAGCCTGTTTGACTTAGTAAGCGTAAGTAGGGTTAAGTAGGGTTGTGGGGATGATATAGATATGACTTCGACGGGATGCTTCCTAAGTCAAAGGGACTTCCAAGCTAGGGAACATCCCTAAACCCCAAACCCTAAGCCCTCAGCCCTAAACCCTAAACCCTCCTAGACCTCCTCCGCAACAGCCCTGAAAAGTTCAAAAGGCAACCTTCCTGACGGTGGCCAGGCTTGGGGTTAAGGGTTTGGGGGGTTTAGGGTTTGGGACTTAGGGTTTGGGGCTTGGGGTTTTGGAAGGATGGAAAGGGTTAGGGGTTTTGGAGGGGCGACGCTGCCACCCAAATTGGGCAGCTCAAATTGCCGTCTACTGGCTGAAGATTACATGGAGTTTTAGGGGTGTTTAGGGCTTTTAGAGCTTTTGGGCCTTTTAGGGCTTTTGGGGTTTTCTAGGGCTTTTGGGCTTTTGGGGCTTAAAGGGTTTAGGGTTTAGGGCCTAGCCCCCGCCTGGATGCGGCTGACGCCGTAGGACCGCACCTCGAGTGTCGATAACGATGTCTCGATTAAGGCCAACCCTGCAGACCCTGACGGGCCCAAACCCTAAACCCTAAACCCTAAACCCCTAACCCCTAACCCCTAAACCCTAATCCCTGCCCCTAATCCCTAAACTCTAAACCCTATAGTAATGCAACAAAAGCAATGTAGGAGGGTGCTTTTGCTATAACACATTCCCCAAACCCCAACCCATAAACCCACACAGCCAAAAACCCACAAGGCACAAATAACCCTCAATGAGAGCACATGTCTCCCGGGCTTTGCCAATCCATGAAGATCTGCGTAGGTAGGGCTGAAAGGGTTCAACTTTTGGGTTACTCACCCTAAGCCCTAAACCCTAAACCCTTTTAGGCTTCTCCTGACTGCCGCCTTGGTACCAGATTGGAGGGGTCTTTGGCCTCAAGGCGATTCAACCGAAGCAGCTGCAGCGCATGTGCGGGAGTCGCTTTCCACAGCTGACGGCCCGTAGCCTTCATCTTGCCTTCCGTCAGGAGGCGGTTTAGGTTTTAGGGTATAGGGTTTAGGGTTTAGGGTTTAGGGTTTAGGGTCTGGGGTTTGCGGTTCAGGGTTTAGGGGGCGTATGGGGGCTTCCGAAATTAGGGGTACCTTATTGGGGTCCTGATTATAAGGGAATCCTGAGATTCCTAGATGTCCAGTGGAAGATGGCTGCCATGGCCTAAGCTGCCATGGCCTAAGCACCCAGAAGGCTCTAGAATCCCAAAGAAGCCCTTTAAGCCATACGAGTAAACTAGGGTTTAGGATTTAGGGTTTAGAGCTTAGGACTCCTAAACCCCAAACCCTACATCCTAAACCCTAAACCCTAGATCCTAGTTTACTTATATACCTGAAACCCCAAAACCCCGCACCCTAAACCCTAAACCCTAAACCCTAAACCCTAAACCCTAAACCCTAAACCCTAAACCCTAAACCTAAACCCTACACCCTGCCTGCACCTCAAGTCATGTTGGCCACATCCTGCGAGGTCAGCCAGCAAGGAGTCTCCACCAAAACTGCCTGGGCAGCCGTCACAACGTCGGCCTCAGTGGTTCATCTAGGGTTTAGGATTTAGGGTTATTATTAGGGTTTAGGGTTTAGGGTTTAGGGTTTAAGGGTTTAGGGCTACTAAGCACAAAGCTTTCACAGACCGAATCACAACAAGGGTCTGAAGGCGGGCGTGAAGGGGCCCCAAAGAAAACACACAAACATAAGGATCCTTCAATCCTGCAAACCATGGTTCTCCCGAATCCCCCCCAGAACTCCCCCTTGTAGGGGCCCTTATACCCCAACAGTAGGATCATTTCCCAGACGGCATTTGCATCGATCTATATCGATCTGAAGTCCTAAGCTTAAGTCTGGGTCACATGCCTAGACAGGATTAGGATCTAGGAAAGCATAGGCATGACTCATGCAGCAATGTTGGGATGCTCCCACTTATACGAACAGCTCCTTAACAGTAGGGATTATCATAGGGGGCACAAGAATCCCAATTAAGGAGCTGCTAGCATAAGGGGGAACATTTTGCAACAGCAACTCCTCAAACATTTCTCCGTTGATGCGGGTGCCTGCTGGCTGTGCGTGCGACGGACACTGAATTCAGAGAACGCGCGAAGCATTCTCGGCTTGTCATGGTGAAGTGTCACCCCTCCCTACGTGCCCTTTGTGGACACGGGCCTATCTAATGACGGCAAAAATGTCCGAAAAATGAAGCCCTCCAAAATTGAGCCGATGCCCACGTAGACAAACTGCGTCGACTGAAGCAGCCTTCCACCACTCTCAAGCATATCCGCCCTTGTCCCCCCCCACGAGGCACTTTCGGAATTCAATCTCGAGCTCGGCCTTGTTGACGTTCCTGCCGATGAAGGTGAGCTTGCAAATTCGCTCCTCATCAGGCTCCCAAGCACGCTGCGGAGACCCGGTGAAGGCCATGTGGACTGCTTGGAAGACAAACTTCCTTGGTAGCCCGGGAACTAAACCCTAAACCCTAAACCCTAAACCCTAAACCCTAAACCCTAAACCCTAAACCCTAAACCCTAAACCCTAAACCCTAAACCCTAAACCCTAAACCAAAAAAAAAGGGTAAAAGATGGTAAAAGGGCTACCACTGGGCTACCAAACTTCTCCTTCTTGCCTTGCACGGCCAGCACACCCTTGGTGCGGAAGAGGTCGTTGCCCTTCTCCTTCAGCAGCTTCCCAAGCCTTGGGTTTAGGGTTTAGGGTTTAGGGTTTAGGGTTTAGGGTTTAGGGTTTAGGGTTTAGGGTTTAGGGTTTAGGGTTTAGGGTTTAGGGTTTAGGGTTTAGGGTTTAGGGTTTAGGGTTTAGGGTGGTCGCCCAGAAACCATATCATAAATAAGGGCACTTAGGGATGTTCGCCCTGATACTAACAGTCCTTAATAGGGATTCTAAGAAGGGGTACGAGAATCCCTATTAAGGACTGTTAGTATAAGGGGAGACATCCCAAAGGGCACCCTTTCTTGGCTACTTTAAAGGGAACCTTGAGCCAACAAAAAGGGAAAAAGAGGGCACCACTGGGCTACCCTAAACCCTAAACCCTAAACCCTAAACCCTAAACCCTGGGCTGCCCGGAAGCCATTCATTCAGCTTCTGCTGGTCCACCTCGCCCTTGACATGGAAGCCCGCGGAGGTCACGCGGTCGTCATGCTGATGGTCCTTCTTAGGGAATGTTCTTTCTGAAGCTAACGGTTCCTTAATAAGGAGGTTAATGGGGGGGGGTACTAGAATCCCTAACCCTAAACCCTAAACCCTAAACCCTAGCCCTAAACCCTAAACCCTAGCCCTAAACCCTAAACCCTAAACCCTAAACCCTATACCCTGTTAGTACAAGAAGGGGGGGACATCCCAAATGGTCCTGGTTGTCCTCCAGGAACCCATCGTCCATCTCCAAGATCTTGTCGAGGTCTCGGTTGCCCCCGTAGCCGGGGATGAAGCAGGGTTTAGGGTTTAGGGTTTAGGGTGCCCTTCTCTCTTTGTTTTGGATTAAAGGGCGTTTTGAAGGGAACCTAACCCCGCCCGCCCCAAGAAGTGTTTAGGGTTTAGGGTCTAGGGGAACCTAAACCCTAAACCCTAAACCCTAAAAAGGGGGATAAGGGTTTTAGGGTTTAGGGTTTAGGGTTTAGGGTTTAGGGCTACTCTGGGCATCCGAGAGGCTAAATGCCTGGATTCCGAGGATGAAATCCATGTCGACCTTGCTCTGCGTGGTGCGCCTGATACTTGGGGATGTGTCCCCCTTGGTGCACTATGAGTCCTTGATAGGGTTTGGGGTTTAGGGTTTAGGGTTTAGGGTTTAGGGTACAGGGTTTAGGGTTTAGGGTTTAGGGTTTTAGGGTTTAGGGCGATAATGCCTATTAAGGACCCTCAGGGGGGGAAGCACCCCCCCCGCCTGATCTTCACAGTGTCGTTGATCATCTTGATACGCTTCTCCACTTCCACCAAGTGCGGCTCGTCCTAGGCTGATCTTGGAACCCTGGTTAAGTTAGGGTTTAGGGTTTAGGGTTTAGGGTTTGGGGTTTAGGGTTTAGGGTTTTTTGTTTAGCTGCTTCTTAGGAAGTATAGTACCCAAACAATACAAACAATACTCTCACACATCCCTAAGTGTCGACAAGGTCGCACTTGTTCAGGAGGATGCGGTCTGCAAACGCCAACCTAGGTTTCGGGTTTAGGGTTTGGGGTTTAGGGTTTAGGGTTTAGGGTCGGCCCGTAAGCAGCCTCTGAAAGACAAATTCCTGAAACATGGCCCCCTTAAACCGAAAATAAAAATCAACTCTTCTGGCTGTGTAAGTACTATATACGGACTAGGGCGAGGCCTGGGGCCTTGTAAAAGGGTGGTTTAGGGTTTAGGGTTTAGGGTTTAGGGTTTAGGTTTTAGGGTTTAGGGCCTGCCCAGCAACTGCTCCACGGCCTCGTTCTCGACGCCTTCGGGCTTCTCCTCGTCGAGGTGCAGGAGCAGGTGCTTGGCATCCACCAGGGTCACCATTCCTAGGATGGGGGGGGGGGGGGTTAGGGTTTAGGGTTGAGGGTTTAGGGTTTAGGGGTTTGGGGTTTAGGGTTTTAGAAATTCTGAGTGGCCATTCGCAGCAGACGGATGCTACTACTGCGGGTCTAGGGTTTAGGGGTTTAGGGTAAACTTCCCAAATAGATCCTCTCTTAGATTCAATAAGGGATACTTTCAACCTAGATGCCATCCAGCGCCAGGTTCTGCTGCACAAAGTCATCGGCAAAGAAGGTCTGAGCAACGGGCGCTGGGTCTGCCAAGCCGGTCGTCTCAATGATGACGCCTGGGCCCAAAGAGTAGGGTTTAGGGTTTAGGGTTTAGGGTTTAGGGTTTAGGGTTTCGGGTTTAGGGCTTAGGGCTTAGGGCGGTTTAGGCGAGACACCATCCAGAGGCTTGCCGCTCTTCGTCGACTTCTTGATCCTTGGTAGCCCAGTAACCATCTATCATGGTAAGGGCACCCTTCTCTGGGGTTGGCTACTTTATACGGGAACCTTGAACCTTGGAACTTTCCCCTTATATATACGGACAGCCCTTAGTAGGGATTGTGATAGGGGGGGGGGGGGGGTGGGTACTGTAATCCCTATTGAGGACCGTTCGTACAAGTATAAGGGGGACATCCCAAGAAGGAAGCTTGAACCAAAAAAGTGCGGAAAACAAGTTACCGCTGGGCTACCGAGAATCATCTTCTTCAGGCCAGAGATGAGGTCACCCCGAACGGTACAGCAAATGCAGCCGTTGTTCATCTCGATGACATTCTCCTGCTGCTTGCTTAAGAACCCCCCCCAACCAAAAAAAAAGCTTTCCATGCTTCCTTATAAGGGCAATATGGGGATTATGACCTTTGATTTGCAAAATATTCTTCCTTAATGGGTTATATAGGGCTTATGGCTTATGATACACCCTCAACCCGAACCCTAAACCCTAAACCCTAAACCTTTTTTTTTTTTTTTGGGGGGGGGGGGGGGGGGGCTCTTAAGCAACGAATTAGTCGTCTCCTGGGTGGCCAACGGGCCAGCCTCAATTAAGCTGTCATCGATGCCGACCTCCCCGAACTCATTCTCAATGATGCCAATGCGCTTGCCATGGTTCCTGGGGTTTAGGGTTTAGGGTTTAGGGTTTAGGGCCTCTTACACCCAACAAAGGAAAATGCAAAATGTCCCAAGCGCCTACCTAGGTTCTCGTGCAAGATGCGATTGAGCAGCGTGGTCTTTCCGCTGCCCAGAAATCCGGTGAGCACCGTCACCGGCACCTTGCTGCCGGAATCGGTTCCTTTCACGGCAGCCTGGACCTTGGAGACCTTCTCCTTGAGTGCCTAGAGCCAAGAGTAACCTAGGAAGAAAAATAGGGTGCCCTTTTTGGGTTTGAAGGGGCCTAGAAGGGAACCTAAACCTAAACCCTAAACAAAGGAAGTAAGAGCCTACTCTCGGTCCTAGGTGCCGTGTCGGAGTTCCCCAAGGCTTGAGCACACCCATAGTCGACAGCTGCGCGCTTGTGTGCGCCGAGGCCCACGAGGATGTCACCGCGGAGCTCGTACATCTGTCGGAGGGTTTCCTTCTGCTCCTGCGACATCTTGGGGGCGGTCTCCTCCACGAAGGCGGCTGGGAGCTTCAAGACTTTGTCCGACTCGTCTCCCAGGACCTTGGCGTAGTCCTGCATGCAGGCGTTGAGGGACTGGACGGCATCGAAGAACTTTCCCTCCTTCGCCGCCGCCTGCGCGGATGCAAAGCTACCAGCCCAGCTCGCCGCCGCCATGGCACCAACTCACACCTGCTTCCGGCTCTCGAAAGAAGTTGGCACGCGCCAGAAAGGTCTTGTGTTAGCTAGGGGGTGGACATGCTCAATCATTCTATAGGCTTGCATGTGCATCAGTGGTGATTTTGCGGGCTTGTCGGTCTTCAAAAGCTTTCACGAGCACGAACAGTCAAGATATGTCGATGCCTATGTGCCAATCAGCGGTGGACGAAATCCCGCCTTAAACGAAGCCTTTCAGGACATGCGTTTGGTGGCTGTTCCTGTCTCTTGCAGTGATGATGTAACCTGCAGACTCAGTAGCCCTAAACCCTAAACCCTAAATAAAGTTGTGAAAGTTCAAGGGGGCTGGTAAGTGCGCAAAAGATAACTGCAAAAAAACACACACATCATGAACAACAACAGTAATTGTGCATTCTGTTGTTCTATGTATATGATACTCAAGTGTTGGAAAACATTCATTACCTACAACAGTCCGTAATCTGAAACTTTACTGTGGTCTCCTAAAATAGTGTTTAGGGTTAGGGTTCCAGGCCAATCCACAAAGTCCGGCCCCCGAATCCGATGTCAACTATACAAGGTTTCAAGGATGGGCTTAAATCTAAACCCTAAACCCTAAACCCTAAACCCTAAACCCGAAACCCTAAACCCTGGAGGCTTCGGGCTCACGGTTTGGGCTTCAGGTTTCGGGTTTAGGTTGCTAGGCTTCCAGAAATGCGCGTCGCCAGCTGGGGATGGGCACATGGAGTAAGATAGGGGCCTTAAGAATTAGAATAGGGTTTTGAGGGCTATTATAGTATAAATTACAAAAGGACATTCAGGCCATAAGGGAATACTATCAGCAATTCCTCCGACCCCAAGACTATGTGCCTACAGACCTGCAGCCGAAGCGCAGGAGACACTGTGGGCACCTTGTCGCGCTTGCGCGACCTTACATGGCGGGATTTGAGGGCCACTTGTGTAGGGGTTAGGGTTAGGGCTTACAACACTGAATTAGGGCTTTCATGCTTAGAGAAACTGGACAATCAGAACAGGTAGTAGCATTAATGAAGTTTCTCCTTTTCCGAGTCAAAACCGTTTGTAAGCCAATCTTAGATACTTCGGTTGCAGCTCATATGCTCCTTCCCTATACCAGACACGGGCCTGGGCAAGTTCTTCTTGCACGTGTATACGTCCGCCAAATCAAGAGAGGTAAGTCCAACTAATTTAGGGTTTAGGGTTTAGGGTTTAGGGTTTAGGGTTTAGGGTTTAGGGTTTAGGGTTTAGGGTTTAGGGTTTAGGGTTTACTATTACTAAGGGGGCTTTTGCACTTTCTAATCGCACATCATGAATCTCACGACCTTACCCGCGAAAGACCCTGATAGAGGACATACGTTCGGCGGGGTGCTCCTGAGAAACCCTAAGCCGAAAATTGAATCCCTACAGCCTTATCCCCTCTCCTAAACCCTCAACCCTAAACCTTTTGAGGCTCCCCCTTATACGAACACTTCCCTAATAGGGTACGAAAATCCCTAAACCCTAACCCCAAAACCCAAAACCCTAAACCCCTCAAGCCTCAAAACTCTTAGGCCCTGCATCCCTAATGCCATAGAGCTCTTAAATCCTAAGCCCTGAGAAGTCTTCAACCCTGAGACCCCTTGGGTTTAGGGCTTAGGGTTTAGGGTTTAGGGTTTAGGGTTTAGGGTTTAGGGTTTAGGGTTTAGGGCTTTAGACCCCGACACCCCTTTGAAACTCTGACAACCCACACAACTGCGGAAGAACCCTTAACCTCAACAACCCAACCGATAATCCTTCACCCCCCTCCCCCCAAATCAAATAAACAACAAAGAACAATCAAACCAAAATTGCAAAGCTCCAACAGCCGAAGCCACCCAAACCCCACAGCCTAAAGCACTAAACCCCCAACCCCGAAACCTGGAACCTTTTGGCAGGAAACCTAACAGCAGCAAAGTGTCCCGAGATCCGCCCGCGGCTACCCGGGACCGAGGTATCTGAAACTGATGGCCTGGACATCCCCCGCTCGGATTAGGGTGTGTGGGGTTTAGGGTTTTAGCGTTTAAAGGTTTATAGGGGTTGCAGGGGTTTACAGGGTTGAGGGTTGCGTTTGGGATTTCAACCTGCTGACAACAAGCCTCTAAAGGGCTTGGGGTTTAGGGCTGAAGGCTCAGGGTGCGGGTTTGGGGTTCAGGGTTTGGGCTTTGGGTTCGGGGCTTAGATGTGTGTGTGTGAGAGAGAGAGGGAGGGGGGGGGGGGGGGGGGGGTTGCCCCCTGCACCAAAAAAAAGCAAGCTAGGCGCATGTCAACGTCTAAGGACATGGGCAGCTCTCTACCTCATGGTTCCTTTTCGTGAGGCTACTCATCCCAAAAAACCTTCGCTCCAACCCGCCTGGAAGAGAGCCAACCATGATTCCGCCCGGGAGCCCTACCGGGAGCTTGCGGCATGTCGAGATCCTTATTGCCCCAATATCCAAGCAACACAAAGGTTAAACTTGTGATTCCTGCAAGATGTAGTAAACAAAGACAAAAAAGTGTTCTAAGTTGAACTCTGGAACCCTAAACCCTAAACCCTAAACCCTAAACCCTAAACCATAAACCCTAAACCCTAAACGCTAAACCCTAACCCTCAACCCTAGACCCCAAACCCTAAACCCCAAACCCGAAACCCTAAATCCTGTTGGATAAGCATCTGGGAAGAAGTTGATTGCCGGCCGCGGGTGTCACCAGCACTTGCCAGCCCTTGCGCCCAGCCCCGGTCATGGCGCCACCGGCAAGGGCGCAGCCATTATAACAGAGTTAGGTTTAGGGTTAGGGTTTAGGGTTTAGGGTTTAGGGTTTAGGGTTTAGGGTTTAGGGTTTAGGGTTTAGGGTTTAGGGTTTAGGGTTTAGGGTGTAGGGTTTAGGGTTTAGGGACGTTTAGGGTTTAGGGCTTATAGGGTTTAGGGTTTAAGGTTCAAGGCTTCAGGGTTGGGGGGCTCCCTAAACCCAAAACCCGGACGTTAACCCTCAAGGCTACGGATTCCTGGTCCTGAACATGAGGTGTGAGGAACGGACAAGTAAATTTGCCACGTGCAGCACTACTATTTATCGGCCTGATACGTTCCATCTTTTGTTCCATGCTGCTGAGCATCGTAAACGGCAGCAACCTCCACAATGTGTCCAAACCGCTGTATAGGACGTGATTAGAAGGGCTCCTGCTGAAGAAGCTTGACCAATCAATTTGAGCGAAGTTAGGGGTCAGGGTTTAGGGTTTAGGGTTTAGGGTTTAGGGTTTAGGGTTTAGGGTTTAGGGGTTATAGGGTTTAGGGTCTAGGGTTTAGGGTTAAAGGGTTTAAGGTTTAGGGCCCTTGGAGGTCTTGGCGGTTGAGAGGCTCCGAGTGCAGGACGACGAGGTTGGTACTGACGCACACGCACACATGGGGTGCAAGATATAGCTTCCCAAAACCCTAGACCCTGACCCTAAACAACAAACGCCGCCAACAAGTCTAGTGAGAGGGTGCGCATGTACAGCTGGTCATGCACCATGTTCCATCTCTGACAACCTCGAACCCTAAACCCCTAACCCTAAACCCTAACCCTAAACCCTAAACCCTAATCCAACACACATCGGCTCAGGGGTGTTGGGGCTTTAGGGTTTCTCGCTTCGGGTCTACAGTTCTTGCTTTGCCAAGGTTTAGGACCTACAGAGTATCAGGCCTGCTAGGCGCCAAACCCAAATTCCGCTCCGCGTTTAGGGTCTAGGGGTTTGGGGTTGGGATGTTTCTCCTTATACTAACAGTCCTGAATAGGTTGTAGTACCCCCATTTTTCACTCCCTATTCAGGACTGGTATAAGGGGGAAACATGCCAAGTTTGTTGCTTTAGGGCTTAAGGGCTCGCAGGCGGGGCTATAGAAAGGGGTTGAAGAGGTTAAGGCGCAGGTATACATGGAAAATAGCAAAAGGATACGAACATATACGTGTAATTATATCATAGGAAGACAAGTACAAATACACACACGTGCATAGATTGGCTTATCTATTTTTGCTTTTTCGGTGTTCATGTCGTTGCACAAGTCATCTTTTCACGTGTTATTCTAGGTGCTATGGAAGGTTGTTATGCTGAAGGCTTCTTCTCATCCCTTTTTGGCGCGGGTAGGAGCTTTGCCTTCCCTAAACCCTAAACCCTAAACCCTAAACCCTAAACCCTAAACCCTAAACCCTAAACCCTAAACCCTAAACCCTAAACCCTACATCAGCGCCACCCGCCAGTCGATGGTGGTCCAGGATGTGACCGCGGACACAGCAGCCGCCTTCAGCGCCAGCTGTGGGTCTTCTTGGAGGCGCTTCCTTAGCTGCAAGGTTTAGGGGCAGGGTTTAGGGCTTAGGGCTTAGGGTTTAGGGTTTAGGGGTTAGGGTTTAAGGTTTAGGGTTTAAGGTTTAGGGTTTAGGGTTTAGGGTCTAGGGTTTAGGGTTTAGGGTTTAGGGTTTAGGGGTTTAGGGTGTATAGGGTGTATAGGGTTTACGGTTGAGGTTTAAGTGGAGTTGCAAGGTTTTACGAGTTTCGGGGTTCGCGGGTTCAGGTTGGCTCCTAATACTAACGGTCCTTAATAGGGTTTATACCAGGTGGTTCTGTATTCTTTATACCCCTTCTTAGAATCCCTATTAAGGACTGTTAGTATCAGGGGAGACATCCCAACGGGCACCCTTTCTTGGCTACTTTAAAGAGAACCTTGAGCGAGGTGGTTCTGTATTCTTTATGCATTAAGGGCTGTGAAGGAGCTCCATCCCGAGGTTCAGGGTTTAAAAGGGGTTTTAGGCCGGGAGAAGGGTTTAGGGTTTAGGGTTTAGGGTTTAGGGAGAGAGAGAGAGAGAGAGAGAGAGAGCCTGGATGGTTTCTCGTTTCAAGAGGTGGGACTTGGGCCATGGAAGGGGAAGGCTTGGGCAACGAAAAATGGGCAGGGCACGTAAAAATTGGAGTCCGATGTAAACCAAGATGAGCCCCCCAGTCAGCCTCCCGTAGGTGGGTGTAAACCCAGAAACACTAAGCCCCAACAACCCAGAAACCCACCCTAAACTCCAAACCCCGAAACCTGCACTCTAAATCCTAAACCCTAAACCCTAAACCCTAAACCCTAAACCCTATCAGGCCACACTACAAGCTTTGAGCCACCCTACAGCCCGACCCGAGCATCGAAGCGGACGACAGCGCCCGGGGGTCCCCGCAAGCGGCCTTGCTGGATTGCTGTGCAACCCTAAACCCGAAGCCCGACACCCTCAACCCTGGCTTTAGGGTTTAGGGTTTAGGGTTTAGGGTTTAGGGTTTAGGGTCTAGGGCTAGTATTCTGACATGATGCTAGTATGACGATACTTAGGATGCTATGACACGATGATACTCATAGGTCCGGAGTAACATACGAATGCACCAGGGGCGTCCTCCTTTTTTCCCTCTGAGTGGGGTTCAAAAGGGAACCTGAGAAGCACATGAGGCACCCAGTCTGGGTCCTAGGTCAACAAGAAACTTAAGTTGCAATCATAGGGTTTAGGGCTATAGCATATAGTGAACTGTTTTCAGTGTGAAGAAGGATGTGGTATTCTGATTCCGGGTTGAGCTCAGGGCCCTATAAGTTGTTCGGCTTGCATACTTAAACACCATACCAGAGAAATCTAGTTGGTTTCTAGTCCACCACAGAATCATGGCAGGCTCCCAAACTAGGGTTGCGCTTAGATATTCCAAACATGGTATACTTGAACCCAATAAGGGAGGACATGGAAAATCCCCAGACCCCACCCAGCAAATAGAGTGGAAACCCCCCTGCAAATCGCTGGAAGATGAGACCTTCATGTAAGAGTCTTAACAGCAGCCCCTATTCCCTGAGCCAAGCCTAAAGACAACACCCCAAACCCCTGGAATTTCCGTAAAAGTGGTCTGAGCCCTTCTTATGTCAAAAGAAGAGGCGAATTCCTTCAGACACTGAAGGGCCCAACGGCAAGTTCACTTTGTGTGTGGGGGGGGGGGGGTGGTCCGGATTTTGGGTCCGGGAGCGGGGTGGAGCAGTACGCTTTAGGCCCTAAACCCTAGAAACCTCTAAGCCAGAGCTCTCCAAACCTCCCGGAGCCCCTGTTAAACCCAAAACCCCAGATACCAGCACCCAAACCCTCCACCCTATGAACCCTAGACACAGATGCCCGACCCTCAACCCGAAACTCTATTGCTGGACCCAAGAGCAACCTAGGAAGAAAGCAGGCGCACTTTGTCGTTTAAAGGCTATTAAGGTAGATAAGGACTATATAAGGTATATATATATATATATGTATAGATACAGGTCTTATAGAAACAAAGATTAAGGATCCCTTCTAGGGGCCTCCTTTTACCCCTTAAGGCTGATAAGGGGAACCCTACAGATGGGCGAGGGGCCTTTTCAGCGAGCTCGCGGTTGTCGCGAAGCCGCATCGATGCGAATGTGAAGGCAAGGCCATCGTGGGATACAGCGGCCTTGACCACCTGGCAGAGGGTGTATAAATAGGCTTGGAGTTTAGGGCAGGGTTTAGGGTTTAGGGTTTAGGGTTTAGGGTTTAGGGTTTAGGGTTTAGGGTTTAGGGTTTAGGGTTTAGGGTTTGGGGTTTAGGGTTTAGGGTTTAGGGTTTAGGGTTTAGGGTTTAGGGTTTAGGGTTTAGGGTCCGAAGACCAAGGCCTTGAACCTTTCCTAGGGTTGAAAAGGGCTTTAAAGACTTTGTGGCCTGCGTACTCCTTTTCCCACAGAATTTGTATGTATATTTAGGGTTTAGGGTTTAGGGTTTAGGGTGTAGGGTTTAGGGTTTAGGGCTTAGGGTTCAGGGTTCAGGGTTTATAAGGATAAGGTTTATCGCCACATTGGCCACATGAGCAGCCGCAAAAAATCTTATGTAAATGCTAATTAAAAATCATGGGGTATCGCTTTTTTTGGGGGGTACCGTGAAAACTCTTGAATTCCTAAACCCGTTCCTTTCTTCAGGACCTATAAACTAAATCCATATCCTAAACCTCGAACCCTCAACCTGGGCCAGGGCCTTTGCCCAGCTCTTCGGGTGGCCAAATGGGTATCGTAGGGTTATCGCTTTGAGTATCGCTCTGGAATAACACCCAGCCCCACATTGTTGCAGAACGACTTCTAGATTCAAGATTCAGGGTATCGCTTTTGGGGGGGGCCTATCGCTTTCCGAGGTTTCAGGCATGACATAAGGTTTTTATCTCCGCCACAAGAGACCTCCTGCAACGTAATAAAAGCGGTCGCTCACATAGTTTTACTAAAGGAACAGGAGTGTGAATGATATGGTGCTGATGCGAAGCTGCATGGGGCAGATATAGGGACTGGGCTTATCAGGATCATGTAGCTTCCAAGCGTTCACGCTTTCACGGCGTGCCTCCTGATCGTCGCGCAGACGCTCGGAAGCATGTTGTAACGATCGCCCGTCGCGGGCCACCGCCAGTAGGACGACTTCCTGTTGAGGTCTCTGGGCTGGAAGCTTTAACCTACAAAAACCGAACCCTACCCTAACGGTGTAGCATTTTACGACCCCAACCCAAACCAAATCCCAAACCCCAAACCCTAAACCCAAACGAACCCCTAAATCCTGAAACCCTAAACCCTAATCCCTAAACCCCAAACCTCAACCAGACCGAAACCCCCCGTTGAGCTTTAGGATCACCCAAGATAGGGGCGCCACCTCTCAGGTACAGCCCTAAACCCTAAACCCGAAACCCTAAACCCTAAGCCCCAAACCTGTTTCCAGGAAGAACCCCCCCCAAAAAAGTACCCCCAAGCCCTGTCGGGTCGGTTGCAGAAGCAGGTCCAAGGGCTGCAGGGGTGGCTCAGGGTTTAGGGTTTAGGGTTTAGGGTTTAGGGTTTAGGGTTTAGGGTTTAGGGTTTAGGGTTTAGGGTTTAGGGTTTAGGGTTTAGGGTTTAGTCCTTGTCGTCACGAAAGGTGGCGTTGAGCAGCTCCAGCATGCCAGTGCCCCGGCCCACAGCCCTGAGGATGAAGCCGCGGTCGTTCTGCAACCTTGCCGGTTGGAGGGTTTAGGGCAGTTTAGGGTTTAGGGTTTAGGGTTTAGGGTTTAGGGTTTAGGGTTTAGGGCTACTTTTGGTCTGTGTGATTTTTGGTCAGGTCTCGAGTTATGATAGCAGCGAAACCTAGACCCTAGAGCCTAAAATCCGAATTCTGCACTCTAAACCCTTATCCCAAACACTACTTCATAGACCTTTGGTGTCTTGGGGAAGTCAAGATGGGCTTGTAGGATGGCTTCAAGGGCTTCGAGGGGGGTTTTTTGTACAAGTACAAATTAGAGAGGCCCGGAGTAGGATTTTAAGCATGCTCACTTACCTCTCCAAGGTTTCCTGAGGTGGTATGCTTTGACGGTTACTCTAGTTTGGGTTCAAGGTTTGGCGTTTAGGGTTCAGGGTTTAGCGCTCAAGACCTAATTTCGTGCAAGCCCCGGGGACCGGATTGGCCTGAGAGCCCTACAACACCCCAGGCCCTCAAAGCCTGAAGCCCAAAACCCTTCAAACTCTTCTAACTCGTAAACCCTAAACCCTTTCTAAGCCCGAAGTCCCTTCATTTGCCCCCGGACTTCACCGCCTCTCTGTGGCCCACGTCAAAGCCTTCCGCGCACCTTCAGGGATTCGAGCTTAGGGTCTGGTAGGGTTTAGGGTTTAGGGTTTAGGGTTTAGGGTTTAGGGTTTAGGGTTTAGGGTTTAGGGTTTAGGGTTTAGGGTTTAGGGTTTAGGGTTTAGGGTTTAGGGTTTAGGGTTTAGGTTAGGGTTTAGGGTTTAGGGTTTAGGGTTTAGGGTTTAGGGTTTAGGGTTTAGGGTTTAGGGTTTAGGGTTTAGGGTTTAGGGTTTAGGGTTTAGCGTTCAGGGTTCAAGGTTTAGGGTGTAGGGTATAGCTGGCTTCTCTCGCCATAGTGGAGGATACTTGGCAGTGGGCAGCTTAGCTACAAGTGACGTTCCAAGTGCTCCAAGGAAGGTTGCAACTAGTCTGGGGTCTCGGGCTTAGAGCCAAAGCCTTCCGCCCCAGACGAGACATAGAACTACCCAACCCTGAACCCTGAACCCTGAACCCTGAACCCTGAACCCTGAACCCTAAACCCTAAACCCGAAACCATGAGCTTCAAAGCAGGAAAGCAGGAATGTATATAGAGCTCAGGGTTTGAAACTTGGCGTTCGACTTGGAGACCCCTCAGGCTCATAGAAAAAACCCACGGTTTTAAAGGGTTTGTAGGGCTTTGGGGTTTAGGGTTTAGGCGTTTATCTGGTTTCTAGGGTGTATTGGGGTTACAGGGCTTATGGGATTTTAGGACCTATCGGAGATATAGGGTTCGTAGGGTTCATAGGAGTTGGGGTTTGGAGTCTGACGTGGTGGTTGCAGGGTTCATTCAGGGGCTTCAGTGCACCACCGCCTTGGGAAATGACCGCAAGAACCACCGCGTCGTCATCCCGCAAGGACTCCCCCAGATGCTCGTACGCAGAGCCTCCGTTGCTAGGGCTTTTTTAGGGTTTAGGGTTTAGGGTTTAAGGTTTAGGGTTTAGGGTTTAGGGTTTTGGGTTTGAGGACCCTAGAACCCTAAACCCCTCAGTACAGGGCAACGCCGCTAAGGCAGTCCTCATGTTCCGCTCGCTTATCCTACTTGGAGGTTCATGCATACTTTACCCTAACCCCTAAACCCTAAACCCTAAACCCTAAACCCTAAACCCTAAACCCTAAACCCTAAACCCTAAACCTAAACCCTAAACCCTAAACCCTAGACCCTAGACCCTAAACCCTAAACCCTAAACCCTAAACCCTAAACCCTAATTATAACTGTACTTGTAAGCCCTCCCCAAGTCCTCTAAGTAGGTAATACACACACTTAATATATTCAGACTATATGTTATGTATCCATGAACCTCCAAGTAGGGCACCACAGGAATGTGTTCAGGAGATCGGGTTCAGGGTGCCCGGCACACTCCGCACCCCGAAACTCTGAACTTGCAAGGCGCTGGAGGAGGGTCTAAGGGTTTAGGGTTTAGGGTTTAGGGTTTAGGGTTTAGGGAACACCAAACAAACCACCACCCGAATTCCCCAAAAAACCCTCAGACATTTTATGGCCCTCAAGCTCGCATTGAAACTCGCCAAGCCTAAGCCCTGTCTGCACGGAAGTAACCCAGTAACCCGAACTTCAACCCTAAATGCGTACAACATCCGAATCCCCTCACACCTGAAAGCCCTTTGAACTCTCTGGCTGGGCGGGTGCCCACCAAGTCGCCCTCCTGAGAAACGGCGGCCAGTGCAATCGGCGCATCCTCGCGCAGCCGGGCGAGATGTTGTACGAGAAGTCCGTCCTGGCAGGAAAAAATCCTAAGCCCTAAAGCCCTAAAGTCCTAAAGCCCCACAGCTCTAAAGCCCTAAAGCACTACAGCTCTAAAGCCCTAAACCCAGCACCCCCAACTACCCCTTAACCATAATAGTAGGGTCTAAAAACCCCGTTCACGAAAGGGTGGTTTGGGGGGTGCAGGTAAACCCTGAACCGCTACGCCCGTGAACCCTGAACCCTCAGGAGCGAAAGGCGATGGCGGATATCTGGAGCAGGGTTTAGGGGTTAGGGTTTAGGGTTTAGGGTTTAGGGGTTAGGATTTAGGGTTTAGGGTTAACTTGGCTGCACTCAGGAGGGTAGCAAAAAACTAAACTTTTAGCTGCCATAATAAGAAACCCAATCAACTTACAGTAAAGTACCACAGAGTTAAGTGGGGCGCAAGGCTACTGAGGAAGTTTTAGGTTCAGGCTTGTAGTGTTGATTAGGGCTTCCTAGGGTTTACAGGGCTTATGGGGCTTCTGGGGTTTGCAGGGATCTATGGGGTTTCTGCGGTCTATACGAGGTTCTGGGTCGGGCTTATCGGTTTTGGAGGCTTTTTAGGGTCGAGGGTCTTCTTGGATACCTTTCGGGGCTTGCCAAGGAATCAACAGGGTGTGTTGTCTGTTTTGTGGGGCTTCAAAAGGGCTCGCAAAACCTACAAAATTGATTGAGGACTGAGGTTTAGGGTTTCCGCTAAACCCTACTGAACTAGTAGCACAAAACTAGTCTAGGCTTTCGATGCCGAGCACTGTGGCTGTAAGGTTTAGGTTTAGGGTGTATATACAGCTCGCCACCACTAAGCCCTAAACCCTAAACCCGAATCCCTAATCCCTAAACCCTAAACCCGAAACCCTAAACCCGAACCCTCTAAACCGAAACCCAAACCCCCCCACCCACCCCCCCCCCCTCGGAAGTCCTGGGACACGGCCGCCCTCGCGATGTCCTCGTCGTCGCGCAATCCTTATTTTGCTCTCCAACACCAAGCAAGGGTTCAACAACCCGGTTTACGGTTTCTTAGTTGTCCAGTAACCGGGGGGAATTAAAGGTTAACCTTTGGGGTTACAAGGGGATCCTACTGCCCCCCAAAAAGGCTAAAGGCTACCTACTCTACTACTAGGGTTTGTAGGGTCTTATTCCTAGAATAACAGCCACAAACCCCCGAAGCCCCCCAAAACAGAAGTTCAGCTATTGATTTCGAACATCCCCGCCCCCCCCCCCCCCCCCGTCCCCCTAAGTCTAAATACTGGCCGTCCAGGAACCATTTCTTGGATTCACTACTGTCTGCTTAAGAACCCCAAAAGAAAAATAGTAATACCTATACTAACCTTAGTAAGGAAGAACATCTTCGTTTTTGTTTGCGTAAGAACCCCAAAAGAATGAAACACAAATAAATCTAGATTAGCCTTAATAAGATCTTTGTTTTTCTGGGTTCTTAAGCAATTAGTAGTACAGTGTTGGGATATCAAGGGGAGGATTCTATGGGGGTTCTAGGGCTCCGTCAACCCGAAACCCTAACCCCGAAACTCCAAACCCAAAACCCTAAACTCTAAACTAGGGCTTGGGGAACATGTAGGAGATCCCTGGCCAGGCCAGATGAGGACGGAAGACATGGCTGAGTTGAAATCTCAGAGCCCCCACACCAACGCTGAGCCTCCGGACTTGGCCAAGTAAGACCAGGGTTTAGGGTTTTAGGGTTGAGGGTTAGGGTTTAGGGTTTAGCCCTAGAAGACAAGCAACACCTTAGGAGCTGAATACCCTAGCCCAAAAAAGGGTGACCTTCTTATGTATGGTAGGATTCTATAGAACCAAAAAGGGTTGCAGGTTACCTACCCAGCCCCGAAGCCACAAAAGCACGTAAGGTCGGGCTGTTAGATGGATCAACCCTGCCACAGAAGGAACGAAGCCCTTCACCAAATACAAGTGCAAACGTTTTGCGGCGTAAGAAGCGTTCGGTGGCCATTTCCACCTTGGTAGCCCAGTAACCATACTAAAAAAGGGCACCCTTTTTTTGGGTTACTAACCTTTATAAGGGAACCCTGAACCAAAAAAAAGGAAAAGGGTGCCACGGGGCTACCAAGCCACAGAGGAGGCCTGCGAAGAGATTGCTTGCAGCATCACGTCCTTGTCATCCAAAAAGTCTTCTTCCAGCTCTGAGACCTATAGGTGCTTGACAATCAGTTTCAATAGGGACTCAAGGAGGGACCCTTTATAAGGGACCTTAAGGGGTTCTTCAGTGCTTATTTAGGGGCTTCTTAGATGCACAGGGACTCTATAAAGCAGTTATATATGTGTATATATATATATATATGGATGCCCCTTAACAGTTACAGTGGCTTAGGCTAAGGAGGGTTTTGCATTTAGGGTTTAGGGTCTGACTTCTGAGGGCTTTCGACCAGAGAAGGCGAAGCAGTTGCATCAGCGAGGTGGCAAAGGGTTGTTTAGAGCTTCGGGTGTAGGATATCGGTTGGGATGTTCCTCCTTTTACTAACAGTCCTGAATAGGGATTGTAATAGGGCCGGCGGGGGTCCTATAATACCCTAAACCCTAAAAACCGGCCAGCTTCTTCTTTTTGTTTTCCCATTTTGTTAGGCTCTACTCAGGGTAGCTAGGGCCGGGCTGGGTGGGATGAGGCTCTTCAACAGAAAACACCCTCGCCCTCACCTTAAATCAGCACCCCCGTAGGCGAAAACAAAACGATTCGTTTAGGCGTTTCTAGTAAGAGAAGGTTTAGGGTTTAGGGTTTGGGGTTTGGGGTTTAGGGCTTCTCTAAACCCTAAACCCTAAACCCCTAAACCCCTAAACCCCTAAACCCCTAAACCCCTGAAGCTGTCGCCGCCAGGGCACGATCCTGGGCGCCCTGGCCACGGCCTCCAACACGAAGCCCTTGTCGCGCTGCAAGCGCTCCGAGACTTGGCATAGGAGCCCTTTCCTGGGTGTAGGGTTTAGGGTTTAGGGTTTAGGGTTTAGGGTTTAGGGATTAGGGTGTCTAGGGTCTTGGTTTAGGGGGTCTTAAAGGGGTAGAAGGTGTTGAAGGTTTAGGGTACAGGGTTAGGGTTTAGGGTTCGCGGGCTTAAAGGGGATTAATTTAAGGGATTAAACTAACTGGTTTTAAGGTTTAGGGTTTAAAGGGTCTTAAAGGGCTAAAGGGTGTCAAGGGTTTACATGGTTTAAAAAGTTTCAAGGGCTTCGGGTGCGGGGTTCAGGGTGCCCTGTGTCCGGGCTCTCCCAGAAACAAGAAGCCCAAGCTTTGTTGGCCTTTTCTGGGCGCTTGACGAAGGAAAAGCGGACCAAAGCAAAACATCGCGTGACAGGGCATCCACGGGGCGTTCCTGCCAACATTGCGTCCTTACCCCACCCTAAACCCTAAACCCTAAACCCTGAACCCTGAACCCTGAACCCTGAACCCTAAACCGAAATTGAGGGAAGAAGGAACTTGCGTCAGAAGCTTAAGCTGTAATTGACATCAGCTCCTTGGTGCAAACCTTACTTGCACCCCCAAACTACCCTCTAATAAAGTGGGCTGAGATCTTATTTTTAGGGTTTAGGGTTTAGGGTTTAGGGTTTAGGGTTTAAGGTTTAGGGTTTAGGGTTTAGGGTTTAGGGTGTGCTACGTTCTGCGTTGCTCGCTAGGCTCCGGGGCCTCACCTTATTTTTTTTACAACCGGCCCCTCTGCCCGGGTCGCTCGCAGCATCGCGTGGCGGTAAGCCCACCCCAAGCCACCCGGCATATCTATTTTAGGGTTTAGTTCCTAAAGTCTCGTTTTTGCTTTTTCCAGCGGGGGCATGCTGTGTCCCTGCGCACGCTGTTTCTGCACCATCCCGATCTGAGCCTCGCGGGGGCAGGGCTGCAAAGAGGTGAAGTTGTGGAAAACGCTGCCCCTAGGCTGCGAAAGGTCGGGGGATAGCCCTTCATCATCAAAGTCGGCATCCCTCATCTGCCTTCACGGAAGGCGTCTGGCATGTGTCTCACAAATTGGTTTGGGTTACCGTAGGGGTACCGTTGCCCCTCGACCGGGCCAGCGTCCCGACGTGCTTCTTTGAGGGCGTTTGGCATCCCTTGTCTGTGACCCTCGTTTGCCAGCACGGAAACCATCGACACAAAGCAGTTTGGGTTACCGAAGGGGTAGCGCTGCCCCTCGACCGGGCCAGCGTCCCGATACGATTCTCCCTGGACCAGGACGACTCTCCCTTGACCAAGACTAGGCTGTGAAAAGGTGTTTTGGGTGGCTGATTGGTTTGGGTTACCGAAGGGGTAGCGCTGCCCCTCGATCGGGCCAGCGTCCCGACACGACTCTCCCTTGACCAAGACTAGGCTGTGAAAAGGTCGTGGGGGTGGCTGATTGGTTTGGGTGTCCTGCCCATCGATCGGGCCAGCGTCCCGACACGACTCTCCTTTGACCAAGACTAGGCTGTGAAAAGGTCGTGGGGGTGGCTGATTGGTTTGGGTTGCCGAAGGGGTAGCGCTGCCCATCGATCGGGCCAGCGTCCCGATACGACTCTCCTTTGACCAAGACTAGGCTGCGAAAAAGGTCGTGGGGGTGGCTGATTGGTTTGGGTTTCGGATTTGTGAGGGCTTGCGGTGACCTCCAGAACCTCCCAGAACCATCGATTGCAGGACTAAAGATTCGCATTTTCATTGTGGGTCCAGGCCAATCCTGAGGTCCCCCTCATTGGGGGGCTTGGAGAAGCTTTGTTGTGAACACAAAAGAAATGGTGAGCCCAAAAAGTTCAAAAATCTGGCCTGGGAGAAGCATAGAAAGGCTCAGAAAATAGCCTAAAAGAAGCCCAAAGAAGCACCAAAAACGCTCAAAAATGCCCCCAAAAGGCTGAGAAATGGTCTGGGGCCTGGAGGGAGCCCAAAAACGCGCAGAAATGGTCTGGGAGAAGCCCAAACAACTCAGAAATGGTCCGGGAGGAGCCAAAAAAACCCAGAAATGGTTCGGGAGGAGCCCAGAAAAGGGAATGGTCTCAGAGGACCCCAAAAAGGCTCAAAAATGGTCTGGGGAGCCTAAAAAGGCTCGAAACGGTCGGGGAGAAGCAAGCCAAGAAATGGCCTGAAAAAGGCTCAGAGGGCGGTGTGAGCCCGGTTCTTGAGGGGGGCCCGGGTTGCACCAGCAAGTCCTTGGCGGGGGCCCGGGTTGCACGAGCAACGGTCCTTGGGGTCCTTGGAGGGGGGGCAGGTTGCACCAGCAACGGTCCTTGGGGGGGGGGCCAGGTTGCACCAGCAAAAGGTCTTGGGTTTAGGGTCTTTACCTTTGACACTCAAAGGCTCGACCGCCTTGACGGCCAGTGTGGGCCTTACCTTGCCTTGGAGCGTCCAGCAGCCCCAGCTTTACCTGGGCTGCACGTTCAGTGCTCTCAGGTCGCTCGCGAAGCTCGGACGGCTTCGGGCTCTCAAGTGTTGGTAGCGAGCCCTCAGCAACGACTTTAGGGTTCCCTACTATGATGGTTAAAGGGTAGTTGGGGGGGGGGGGTGCTGGTAAACCCTAAACCCTCATCTCATGATATCTCATGCAGGCAACACCCCTGACAATATGCCGCAAAACAGTATGATCCTTATTTTCGGACCCCCCCCCCCCCAAAAAAAAAAAAAAAAAGCACCCCTATTTTCAGAAACCACCATCTGTTTCCCCAGCGGCCAAGCTGCTGGATGCCCAGCAGAGCTACTTCCCAGTCGTCCCTAAGGCTCTCGGCCACCACGTCGAAGCAGCCTGGAACCAGAAACCTTAAACCCTCAACAGCGGTTCTACGGCCCTTCATGGAAGGTACTTCGACCCTGAACCCGAAAAACCCAAAACCCAAAACCCTAACCCTAAACCCTAGACCCTGAACAGAGGGTTGGATGGGGACTCAGGGTTGAGGGTTTAGGGGGTTTCTGGCATGCCCGAAGGGTCTTTCGGTATCTTGGGACCAACCCAAACGACTACTGCCAAAATCCCTACTGGCCCTATTCAGCCAAACCCTAAACCCTAAGCCCTAAGCCCTGAACCCTCAACCCTGTACCCTTATAAGCCCCAAACCCGACAGTCCGAATTTCAATAGCGGAATGTGGACCATCAACCCTTCGAGGTACAGTTTAGTACCCAAGGAGCGCTCGTCGGGAGCTGCTGCGAGCGCTGCAAGCACGACCTCCTTATCCTTGGTTCAAGGTGCTTTGTTTTGAGGTTTAGGGTCTAGTTAGGGTTTAGGGTTTAGGGTTTAATTAGGGTTTAGGGTCTAGTTAGGGTCTAGGGTTTAGGGTTTAGGGTTTAGGGTTTGGGGTTTGGGGTTTGGGGTTTGGGGTTTGGGGTTTGGGGTTTGGGGTTTGGGGTTTGGGGTTTCGGGTTTCGGGTGTAAGCTTTAGGGTTTGGGGTGTGGGGTTTAGGGTTTGGGGCTTAGGCTCAGGGTTTAGGGTTAAAGATAAAGTATTCCTACTAAAAAAAGAAGACTCCAAACTTGGCAGCCCAGTAACCATATTCTCATAAGGGCACCCTGTTTTGGGGGGTTGGTTACTTAAAAAGGGAGCCCAGAACAGGGGAAGGGGTCGAATGGGTTTCGGGTCTTGTGTTGCAGCGTGGGCCTAACAAAGCCCAAGTCCCTGTGCCGCGACCCCGCCCCCGAAGCCACATGAAGCCTCCAGACTCCAGCCCTCACAATCTAGGGTTTGGGTTTAGGGTTTAGGGTTTAGGGTGTAGGGTTTAGGGTTCAGGGTTCAGGGTTTAGGGTTTCGGGATTAGGGGTTAGGGGCCAAGGCTCTTCTGCAAAGTGCTCCGGGGCATTTTCCAGGAAGGTGCCGTTCTCAGAGACTGCGGCTAGGACAACATCGCGGTCCTCATGCCAGGCAGAAGAATTCGAAGTACTGGCCTGCCTTTGTCTGAGGAAGCAGGCCCGACCCCTAAGCACCCAACCCCAAAAACAGCACTGTCGTGTGTCGGGCCGAGCAATCTTGCGCTCTTGACGTTGAGGGCGCAAGACATGTGACGACCCGGGTGAGGGCTGAGTCAGAAAAACGTGGGGCAGTAAAACGGAAGGCTTCAATCAGAAAACGGAGGGCACATTCAGAACACGCAGAGGCCTCAATCAGAAAACCCGAAGGGCTGACTCGGCGAAACGTGGGGGCTGAGTCAGCAACACTTGAAGCTTCAAATTGCTGCAGACACACGCCGAGGAAATGATCGCCCAAAGGCCCAAAATCCGGAAACAAATAGGCGACAAAGACAACAACGAACGCGGCATTCGGAAAAAAACACGTGCAGCCGTAAAACGAAGAGGCTCAGTGCGAAAACGCGACAGGCGTCACAAACGTGCGAAAGGAACCGCGACAGGAGGAGAAGGAAAGTTTGGTCATTTGGTCAATCCCGTGTGTCCGGTAGCCCCTGTCCGAAAAATCGAAGGTGCTAGTCCGGAAAAGCGTGCAGCCGGAAACGAAGAGGCTCAGTGCGAAAACGCGACAAGCTTCAAACTTGCGAACGGAACCGCGATAGGAGGAGAAGAAAAGTTTGGTCATTTGGTCAATCGCGTGTGTCCGGTAGCCCCTGTCCGAAAATCGAAGGAGCCAGTCGGAAAAACGTGCAGCCGGAAAACGAAGAGGCCCAGTGCGAAAACGCGATCGCTACTCAACTGTAGCCCAAACTTACCCTAGGTCCATGTACCTAAATAACCTACATAGTATATAATGTGCGCCCAAGGCTGCTACTACATAGGAACCCCTTTAAGGCCCAAGTAGCTACTGTGGTACATGGACCCTTTGGTTTACCTGAACCCTGAAACCCACACCCCTTTGCGACTTGAGGGCGTTACTTGGATGTTCATGGGTACTTATAAGTAACTTATTTAGGCACTTAGAACTTAGAACCCCACTTATAAGTACCAATGAACCTTCCCTAAACCCTAAACCTAAACACTAAAGCGCAGTCCTCGCATAAGCGTTCAGAAGCGCTCATGAGCACGTAGCCACACTGCGAAGCCGCGGCGAGGATGATATCTTTGTCATCCTCAAGATCCATCGGCTGGGGATTGGGGCAGGGTTTAGGGTTTAGGGTTGAGGGTTGAGGGTTGAGGGTTTAGGGTTTAGGGTGGAGGGTGGAGGGTTGAGGGTTGAGGGTTTAGGGTTTAAGGTGATCAAAACCCTCACAGTCCCAGAACTCATGATCCCTAAAGCCTGAAGCACTAAACACCCTAAACCCCAAAAGAGCCCTAAAATCTACAAGAAACCAGGCGCCCTGAGCCGTGAATCAGTGAAGGACAAGAGTCCAGCTGCTCCGGGGAAAGGAAATCCACCACGGCGTCAGCATGACCACACCGCACGGCTAGCAGAACGAAGTCTTTGTCGCCCTGAATCGGGGGTGATCCCGGCCCCAGAAACCCTCTAGAGCCTGTGAAACCCTAGAAAGCCTATGTAAACCCTGTAAACCGCGTGCAAACCCTGACAATGCCGCAACCCTGTGTAGACCAGGGTTTAGGGTTTAGGGTTTTGGGGTTTAGGGTTTAGGGTTTTGGGGGTTTAGGGTTTAGGGTTTCGGGTTTAGGGTCTTGGGGCTTAGGCTCCGGGAGTTGGGCTAGACACCGGACATATCTTCGCCCGAAAGAAGGGCCAAGTCTAGCAAGGTCTTTGTTGAGATTGTTGGGTTGGGGTGGACAAGGCGGGGGGCTCGCATCGGAGGGTGTTTTGGGTTTCGGGTTTAGGGTTTAGGGTCCCTGAAATTCAGTGTCTCAAGGGGCATAGGGCTGAGTGACGGCTGCAGTTTCGCATTCTTGATGGCTGCAGCAACGCCCTGCAAGCATCGGATTCCAAAACAACTCTAAACTTAAACTTCCTAGACCTAAACCCTAACCCCTAAGCCCCTTACCTGAACTTCCTAGCCGTAAACCCTAAACCCTAAACCCTAAACCCCAAACATGAACTTCCCAGCCCGAAATCAAACGGGAGGGGGAGTTGTTCTAGAGGTCCTCTGTCGACATGGAGCGATTCTTCTCTCAACAAGGGAACCGGCCTTGTGGTTACTTAAGGCTTCGGTTTAGGGTTTAGGGTTTAGGGTTTGGGGTTTAGGGTTTCGGGTTTAGGGCTTAAGGTTTAGAACAGCTACCGCGTCTGCCTGCAACCGATCGGAGGCCGCGCGGAAGGCATCCCCAGTTTGCCGAATCGCTGCTAAGACCACCTCCCAGATTTGTACTCACTTGGTTTAGGGTTTAGGGTTTAGGGTTTAGGGTTTAGGGTTTAGGGTTTAGGAATTAGGGGTTTAGGGCTTAGGGTTTAGAGGTTAGAGTTTAGGGTTACGCAGCAACCGTACGCAGCCTGTACGGTAGAGGGATGTGAGTTAGCTGTGGGTTTTGGGCTTTCAAGGTTTAGGGTTTAGGATTTACTTGCTTCTCCAATAACCAAGGGACAAAAGGTTGAACTTCATTTTTCCTACAGAATAAGGAAACCCGCAAAGTTTAGAGTTCAACTCTTGGCTAAGTAAGTTTCCGGACTTAAGGGTGTTACGGCTTTGGTGGTTCAGGGTTTAGGGTCTCATGAGGGGCTTTAGGTGAGCTCACTCCCCCTCCTGAAAGCTTCTACGAACCACTGTACAGGGCTCTCAGGCCCCTAACCTAAACCCTAAAACCCCAAACCCTAAACCTACATCCTAAACCGTAAGCCCTAAAATGCAAAACCCTAAACCCTAAACTAAACCCTAAACCCTAAACTAAACCCTAAACCCTAAATCCTAAACCCTAAATCCTAAACCCTAAACCCTAAACCCTAAACCCTAAATCCTAAACCCTAAACCCTAAATCCTAAACCCTAAACCCCAAACCCCAAACCCTGAAAATCCCTTCGAAGCAAGGGCTCCAGACCAGGGCCTCCTCATCATCGCGCAGCTCCTCCGACATGGCATCCAAGGCCTGGGCTCCCTAAACCCTAAACCCTGAACCCTAAACCCTAAATCCTAAACCCCAAACCCTAAACCCTAAACCCCAAGCCCTAAACCCTAAACCCTAAACCCTAAGCGCTCGACGTTGAGGGCTTCGGGTGTGTGTAGGGTTTAGGTCTGAACCCGCACCAAACCTGCGGCTACTCTCCACCCTGTCTCGGAACCACAACACCCCAAGACATTCTACTCCGAGCCTTGGGTTTAGGGTTCAGGGTTTAGGGTCTAGAGTTTCGGGTTCAGGGTTGCCAGGGTCTAAAAGTTCAGGCTTTCCTGGCCACAGTTTCGAGACATTGGTAGCAAGGAAGGCATGCGCCCGCAAACACAAAGGCCCTTAGATCCTAAACCCTAAACCCTACACGCTAAACCCTAAAAGGGTACAGGACACCTAAACCACATAAGGGCTTAATCTAGTTGCGCGGCGATGCTTCTTAAACACAGTTTAGGGTTTCGGGTTTAGGGCTTAGGGCTTACGGTGTAGGGCTTAGGGGGTGGCAGGGAACCTGACAGTCTTGGCAGACAAGGGGCCCTGCCATTTTGCGAGACGGCCGCCAACACTACCTCGCCGTGTGCGGCAACAGGTTGAGGCAAACGGTAGCTCCGGGGTTTAGGGGGTTTCAGAGTTCAAGCCCTAAACCCTAAACCCTAAACCCTAAACCTTAAACCCTACATGTAGGTTTCAGAGCTTAGGGTTTTTGCTTCAAGTAAGCAGACCAACCCCAAACTTGGTGGGCTGAACCTCCCACTTCTACCTGCGAGCAGCAAGTCGACAACTTCCTAAACTCCGGGCTTCGGGGATTTTAGGGTTTGGAGGTTTAGGGTTTAGGGTTTAGGGTTCAGGGTTTAGGGTTTAGGGTTTAGGGTTTAGGGTTAGGGATTGTCGGGCTTGACCTGGAGTAGCCCTGATACCCAGAACTAGATAAGGGGGTACCAGCCCTGAACCCCACACCCTAAGCAATAAACAATAAACCCCCTGATCAAGGCTTTGCAGCTTCCAGGAAGCCTGGGCTCAAAACCGGAGCAGGGCTAAGGGTGGGGTTTAGGGTTTAGGGTTTCGGGTTTAGGGTTCAGAGTTTAGGGTTTAGGGTTTGAACCCTCTTTACTGTTGGGCCCGCCCCCCGACGAACAGTCGAGGCTGGATTTGCTCCTCCAGGGGTTTATATGATTCTAATAGGGAGGAGTTTAGATAAGTTTAAAAGGGGAAGCGATGCCCGGCAATCTTTTTAAAAGGCGCGCCACGTGGATATTTTTTACGGCGCCCGGACGATTGACTTTAAGCAGGGACCCCCAAACAGTCAGGGTGTCCTGAATAACCTTCAGGGTGCAGGGTTTAGTGTCACCCAATGCGTTCCAAGTGGGGTGTGCTAAGCCCCAAAGAGCCATTGATGCACAACCTTAGGGGTCGTCAAAAAAACCCCTAAACCCTGTAAGCCCTAAACTCTTGGTTCTTAGGATGTTCCCGCTCATACGAAAGTCCTCAATAGGGAGTATAATAAGGGGTACTATCATCATAAACCCTAAACCCTAAACCCTAAACCCTAAACCCTAAACCCTAAACCCTAAACCCTAAACCTAAACCCTAAACCCTACTAAGGACTGTTAGCTCATGGGGGAGCGGTGGTAACACGGAAGTTGGCCATTAAACCCTCATAGTCGGCTAGAATTTAAGACATGGAGCTTGGGGGCCCCAAGCCCCCAAGCCCCCAAACCCTAAACCCTAAACCCTAAACCCTAAACCCTAAACCCTAAACCCTAAACCCTAAACCCTAAACCCTAAACCCTAAACCCTAAAACCCTAAACCCTAAACCCTAAACCGAAATGAAACCTAAACCTAGGGACCTAGGGCTTCGATTCAACGCAGGCTTCGGGGTTTTACGCAAAGCTCTGGACCTGGGCTTTGCAAAGAACTGTGGGTTCGCAACCCTCGGTTTGAGGTTTAGGGTTTAGGGTTTAGGGTTTAGGGTTTAGGGTTTAGGGTTTAGGGTTTAGGGTTTAGGGTTTAGGGCAAAGTCCGGTGGCCTATTTATCTGTTACACTTACACCTTCTTATAGACCCTAGAGACCCTAATGAAAACCCTGAATGTAGGCCCTATGAAACAGAAACTTTACTTAAAGAGACCACCAACCCATGTAAGGTTTGGGGTTTAGGGTTTGCAGTAGAGGATTTCAGGATTTCGGGGTTTAGGGTTTACGGTTTAGGGGTTTAGGGGTTTAGGGGTTTAGGGGTTTCGGGTTTAGGGTGTAGGGTTTAGGGTTTTAGGGTTTAGGGTTTAGGGTTTAGGGTTTAGGGTTTAGGGTTTAGGGTTTAGGGTTTAGGGTTTAGGGTTTAGGGTTTAGGGTTTAGGGTCTAGGGGTTAGCCCTGCTGGACCTTAGGTCGCTCCAGCCTCGCGGTCTTCCGCCAGCTTGGGTGAAAGGTGGTGGATGGCCTGCTTGCCAAAGGTGTGGTTTTTTGCACTCCGGACCGTCCTTTAGGGTTTAGGGTTTAGGGTTTAGGGTTTAGGGTTTAGGGTTTAGGGTTTAGGGCTTTTTGGGCTTAAGGCTATTTTTCAGGTGTTATGGTCTTGGCTCGAAAGATCCATGTACTTCAACAGAATCTACGTGGGTGCCAGAGGGGGCTTGTAGGCGTTCAGGGTTTACCTGGGACTCCACTTACCTACAGATTAGTGACAGCTACCCCTTGATTGGTAGGTACATAGAACTCATAAGACTGGCAGGTATGTATAACCCATAAAGCTGTGAGCAAAGAAAGAGAGTCCCATGTAGGGTTTAGGGTTTGGGGTTTAGGGTTAAGGGTTTAGGGTTTAGGACTGGGCATCCCATAGCACATAGCAAGCAGCAGCAACACGCGTGGCAACTCAAGCCATGCCGGAGAAGCACCCACACGGTTTAGGGTTTAGGGTTTAGGGTTTAGGGTTAAGGGTTAAGGGTTAAGGGTTAATTACGGTTTAGGGTTTAGGGTTTAGGGCCTAGGGTAACGGCAAGACGTGAACTACTCCAAGCAAAAGTGGCTCAAATTAACGGAGGCACGTGGGGGGGGGGGGGGGGGGAGAAGGGTATCTTGACCCTAAACCCTAAACCCTCAACCCTGGGGCCCGAAGGTAGGAAGGGTGCTTGCGACCTGCCCATTGGCGGCCACGGCGCGGAGGGCGAAGGCTTTGTCCTTTGAGGGATGAGGTATTCCGTAAGGGTTTAGGGTTTAGGGCTTAGGCTTTATATAGGGTTCAGGGTTTGTATAGGGTTTAGAGGGTTTAGGGTTTAGAGGGTTTAGGGTTTAGGGAGAATACAAGCTCGCAAACTTGAGCCTTCCTTTGTATGGTGTTCATGTTACCTGTCTCTTTGTCTCTCTGTCTCTCTTTCTCTCCGTCTCTCCATCTCTCTGTCTCTCAGCCGTCTCTCTGCCTCCTGTCCCTCTGTCTCACCCGGCGTTAAATCGGCGTTAAAGAGTCGAACAACGACCAGCACCAGCTCGCAACATATTTTTGTGCGTCATCCTTGCTACGGCATGTGCCGCGAGCAGGGCCATCATCTGACTTGAAGCAAAGAGTTCGAGTTGCCCTGATGCCTGAAACCTGCTGGTAAGTATGCCCGAACGAACGCTTATCCGGTCGCAAGTGGTTGAAAGAAATTGCCAGAAGAACAGAAAAGATGTCCCATCAAGCAAGCTTCACAAGAAGATTTCTATGAAAGCCCTACCGTTGTTTCTGACCTTCGTTTCGCTTATTTGGTTTACGCACTTGCTGATTCTACAAGGCTCGGCAACAGAACTGATAATGACAATGATAATAATAATAACAAGAATACTAATCATAATAATCATTCCTATTTTAATTTCGACGAAGCTCAAAACCTCCCAATCTCTAAACCCTTCATGCTCCCCAGGTCCTCACGCCACCTCGCGCCGGCTGACTCCATGGCCTTACAGGATTAAGACATGTAGACCTTACATGTGACTTATAGGGGGTTTGAGTGAGGGCTTCTGATATTGCGTCCTTAATAAGCTCATGGTTGGGATAATATTAAAAATTTAAATTCATATTCCTTATTGGGTTTAAGTACCCTCAAAATGTAAAATGTTACCCAACCATGACAAAGTTACATACCTGCTATGTCCCGATATGCACGTGTGGCAGTATGCATGTGTCTACATTCATATAGACACTCAACTCTGGCTCCCAGCTGGCATGGGCAACGGGTGCCAGAGCGCGTTTAGGGTTTAGGGTTTGGGGTTTAGGGTTTAGGGCTTAGGGTTTAGGGTTTGGGGTTTGCGGTCTGATCATAACTGCATCATCTGGCCAGCGCGTCGGGGTGCGAAGCCACTGCGGCAAGGACCACCTGCGAGTCTAGCGTTTGAAGGTTCAGGGTTTAGGGTTTATAGGCTTATAGGGTTTAGGGTTTAGGGTAGTTCAGGGTTTAGGGTTTAGGGTTTAAGGCTGTGAGGTCGGGGTCTACTATAGAGCTTCTCGGGCTTAGTTTGAGGGTTTGGGCGTTCAGGATTGGGATTCAGGTTCGGCTTAGGTCCCGCAAAGACCTAAACCCCAGACTCCTAGACTTCAGGGAAGGGAGAAAAATGGAGGTGACTTCTAGGGGGGCGTCTCTCCTCGTAGACCTGAAGACCTGAAGAAGCCCGAAAACTCCCCAAGTCAGGCCTTACAAAACCTACAGGCAAAGGGTCCCCTCGCAATGAACGCAATGGACGCAAGGACTCTCCACGCGCCTGCGGATCATCGCGGAGCCGGGAAGATGCGAACTTCAGGGCTGTGGTGTCGGACTTGATGGCGGCCATGACAATCTCCTGCGATTGCGGTTGAGGGTTTCGGGAAGAAAGGTTTCGGGATTAGGGCCTAAGCGCTTTAGGGATCGCAGGGCTAAGGGATTGCGAATCCTAAATCCCTCAGATCTCAAAACCTCAACCCTCATGCTCGAAACAACCCTACAACTGCAGCCTGCGGCGTTCTAAGTCCGGACCCTGTACCCTCTGAAGCTATCATTCATTCACCTCATAGCCCTCCCGAGACCCAAAACATTCTGAAGACCCAGTATGAAGCCCCAAAACCCAAACCCCGAACCCTAAACCCGGAACCCCCAAACCCTGAATCCCCAAAACTCTAAACCCTGAACCCTGAACCCTAAACCCTGAACCCTGAACGCTAAACCCTAAACCCTAAACCCTGAACCCTAAACCCTAAACCCTAAACCCTGAACCCTAAACCCTAAACCCTAAACCCTGGGTCAGGAGCTCCGGGTCGTCCCGGAGACGCTCCGAGGCGTGTGCAAGGCAGGCGCCCTCCTGCTTCTCAGTTGGAGAACTTAGAGTTCAGGTTTTGGGGCTTAGGGCTTAGGGCATAGGGCTTAGGGTTTAGGGTTTAGGGTTTAGGGTTTAGGGTTTAGGGTTTAGGGTTTAGAGTTTAGGGTTTAGGGTTTAGGGTTTCAGGATGTGGGGTTTGTGTTTTGGGCATTTTTGGTTTGGGAGGATCTAGAGTGTAGAGGCTCCTCGAGAGCTCCAACGAATACGGTCAGTTCTCTTAACTAGGGCGGTGCCCTTAACACATAGGGGCCGCCAACAAGGACCCCAAAAGGGACCGTAAATAGAGAAATCGTCATATGGGGGTTAAGATCTTGGGGGTGCCGTAGTGGGGTCCTCATGATAAGGGGATGCAGCTATCCCCGCCCCCCCCCCCCCATATTGAAACTTTCTAGATCCTCACAAGGGTCTGCCTTGTAGAGTTTGGCGCTTAAGGAGTTGAGTCACCCTAACCCCTGAACCCTAAATCCTAGGACTTGAGTTTGGGGGTTCGAGTTGAGGGAGTCTGAGGGCGAGGCCGGGAGGTTCGCGAGGCCCGACCAGGAGGTCCGCGAGGCTCGACCACACCGAGACCCTAAACCCTGACACATCCAACGGGTTTAGGGCTTAGGGCTCAGGGATTCGGATTTTGGGCTTAGGGCTTAGGGCTTAGGGTTTAGGGTTTAGGGTTTAGGGCTTAATTAGGGTTCAGGGATTCGGATCCCCTGACAAAGAGTTTTAGTTTTAGAGACCGTCAGAGCGTTGGTGTGCATAACAATAAGAAGTACCCCTGTCATCCCGGAAACACAACCTCCTTCCCCGGAGTCAGATACGTCAAGTTGCCAAGCCACCCACTAGTAGCGCAAGACCCTACAGGACACACATCATCACACCCACACCCCATATGCAACAAAGCTCTTGCTACACAACTGAAAAATGAGCCCCAAAGAAGACTGGGGGTTTGGGGTTTAGGGTTCAAGGTCTTGTCCTACTGGTTTTTAGCATGACCCTATATCCCTACATAAACCTCTAGGGATTGTATAGGGTACCTCATTCTCTCATTCCCTGCCAAAAAACCAGTAGGTTTAGGGCTTAGTTTTGGTTTAGGTTTAGGGTTTAGGGTACCATATTCCCTCATTCCCTGGTTGGGTTTGGGAGGGAAGCTCCCCGGGGAAAACCGCTGGCATCACCACTGCGACGACGTCGCGGATGTGAGCGGGGGCGGACGCCAGTGATTCTGGCTCCTCCTCCACCTTCGAAGGACTCAACCCCAAATCCTAAACCCCAGACCCTAAACCCTGAACCCTCCAAAGCAGAAAACAAACCCTGAACCACACATCAAGCACCGTGGAGGACGGGGTCCTCATATATGCGGCTAGACGGTGAACCCGAGCGGGGTTCATGAGAGTTTGAGGGCCCCGAAAAAATTCGCGCCTAACCCTAGAGCCTGAACTCTGCACCCGAAACCACCCGGTCTGTCGTCCAGGACTTTGGGGTTTCGATGGGGTTCAGGTCTTTAGTTTAGGGTTTAGGGTTTAGGGTTTAGGGTTTAGGGTTTAGGGTTTAAGGGTTAAGGGCTAAGGGTTAAGGAGGGTTAAGGGTTAAGGGTTTAGGGTTTAGGGTTTAGGGGGTTTAGGCTCGATGGCTCCTTTCCTGGGCCCCACGACGAGAGGAGGACCGCATCAAGAGGCCACGGCGCCCTCATACCTTCAACCCCAAACCCTAGACCCTGAACCCTAAACCCTACCCTAAACCCCAGACCCTAAACCCTAAACCCCAAACCCTAAACCCTAAACCAAAGACGACACCAAGGTGGTCCGTGTCACATGAAGCTTAGAGGTGCGGTTGTGGTGGGTGGGGCTTACCTAAGTCTTGGACCAAAAAAACTTTGAAACCCCAAAGACGCCATAATCCTACTAGGCTGCCTGTTCCCTGATTCCCTACTAAGAACCGACACACAGTTAGAGTTTAGGGCTTAGGGTTTAGGGCTTTGGGTTTAGGGTACCCTATTCCTTATATCGGCTGGTCGTGAATCTCAAGCCCTGGTCGGAAGCCGCGCCATCTTCACCCACTTGGCCGTCTCGTCGTCACAGACCGTGGCCATCAGCACCAGCTCCTCCTCCCAAAACGTTGGGGGTTTAGGGTTTAGGGTTGAGGGTTTATAGGGTATAGGGTATAGGATTTAGGGTTTAGGGTTTCAGGTCGAGGGTCTCGGGTTTACGGTTGTCTTGCTGAGTATAGACGATGGATGCTCAAAGAACAGAACCCCTGAAAAGCTTCATCTAAGAAAATGTTGGGTCCTGTTGGCACCGGCACCCTAAACACTGTCAAGAAACGGACTTGACTAGCACAGAAACCTCACAGCAGGTCCATGTGGCCCAGACTTTAAATTACAGATCCCCCACACAGGACCCACATCAGTTTGGGTTGTAGTAGTTTACTAATTCATCATTAGGGATTAGGCGTGCGATTGACAAGGGCTTTGGGAGGCTTGGTTGCGGCAGCGAGGGGCTTGGCTGGGGTGGATTTTTGCGGGCTCCAAGAAACTTCTCAACTAAAGTTCTATGCTTTATCTAGGGTTCTGAAGGAAAGAGGGCGCAGAGAGCGTTTTTATCCTCTAGACCAAAACCTGCTTAAGGGAACCCCAAGCCCCAAACGCCAGCCCATCTCAGACGCCGTGCAAGCTCACCCTAAACCCTAAACCCTAAACCCTAAACTCAGGATTTAGGATTTTGCGGCTTAGGGTAACCCAAATACCACACACTGAACCCCATCAAGAGCCCGAAGCCCATAAACCCACGAGTCCATCCCTGCACACCCTAATCCCCAAACCCTAAACCCTAAACCCTAAACCCGAAGCCATGAAGTCAGATGAGGTTTTGGTTAAAGCTTCAGGAGGTTCAGGAGTTTTCGGAGATGCCAGCACCTACAGTGAACTCCGAAAAGTTGGAACATCAGAGGGGAATCCCAGCACGATTCACTATGTTCCAACTGTCTATGGAGTTTACTGTAAACCTTGGTGGCCCAGTAACCATATTATGATAAGGGCAGCCTTCTTTTGGGTTGGCTACTTTATAAGGGAACCCATGACCAAACAAAAGGGAAAAGGGTACCACTGGGCTACCAAGAACCTACAATCGAAAACCAAGTAAGGCTCACAAGAATTGGTGCGCCTCCTGGCGCTGGAAGTCAGCCAAAGGCTGCCAGTTAAATAGCTCCTGAGCGGAGAGAGCTAAAGGGTTTCAAACAAAACCCTAAGCCCTAAGCCCTAAGCCCTGAGCCCTGAGCCCTGAGCCCTAAACCCTAAACCTAAACCCTAAACCCTAAACCCTGGGACTTCCAAGGAGGAGTTTAAGGCGGAGGGCTCCTTGCCAGACGTCGTCAGAATTTGGAACACTGCCCCTGGCTTCACCTCCTCCAGGCCTTGGCGCCCGGAAAGCTTCCGAAGTAATGTAGGGGCCTTAATGGGGTTTGGGGTTTAGGGTCCAGGGTTTAGGGCTACTATAGGGGTCTTAATGATTAGACGAGGGGTTTGGAGGTTATTGTAGTATGAATGTAAAGCGATTAGAAACTTCTTCCGACCCCTAAATTACTGGCTTACTCACGGGCGTGTTGGCTGACTTCTGAACCC